TATTGATTCTAGGATGATTCTTGATTTTGTTAATGAAACTTTTTCCTCAATGTAATATGGGAGGATCAATGGTATTATGAGGGAGTTTAAGTACTTTCTACCAATATTAGACATTGAGATCAATTTTTTTTAAAATATTTTATGAGAATTGAGGCAGATAAAGAGTCGATAGATATAGAAGCTAATTAGATTGACTGTTAAACTACCATATTTTCTTGTAAACTAGATATGAATATATTCTAAATGTAAGAAGAAAATGAAAATCACTTGAATTTCCTCTTAAACATGAATTTTACTATTTGATGAGCCTTAAATGGACTCTACGTCAAATTAATACAGCGTTTTATTTGTGTTTATAATCTTTAGTTGTTGGATATGTTTATTTATTGATTATAGGAGAAATTTTTTATTTTTATAGTTAGTTAATCAAATAGTACATATATAAATTTAAAATAAGATTCACTTAATTAATGCGTGCATGCACACATAAAGGAGCACATGGAGAAGATGAGGTTATGTATATTACTCGCAAAACAAGTATATTTATATATAATTTAAATAGAGAAATAAAGTCTATTCTAAAGGAAGAAGGAAATGAAGAATCACCTGAGTTTCTTCTTGAAAATAACTTCTAGGGTTTGACGCCTATCATGAATTCTACTTCATAATAATACAATATTTTATTATTATCTATAGTCTCTAACTATTGGACATTTATGTGCATTGATTGTATGACAAAAGAAATTTTTTAGACAGATAAGGTAATAAGATGATATGCACATAAATTTCAAATAAAATTCATTTAATTAGGTCATGCATGCATATGAAACTATGAACATTTCGAAAACAAGGCTTTGCATGAAGTATTCATATATAATGTAAATGGAGGAAAGAATTTTTTTTAATAAACAATAATAAGGGACAATAAATGAAGTTGTATATCTAGTTAACTTTATGTTAACAAATAAATTTATTCAACTATAAACAGTTAATATTTATCAAATATAAGTACATGGTAAATAGTGCTTATAGTAATAATTGAAACAAAAAATTCTAGGTTAAAATTTGATAAGCCTCAATAGATAAAATTCTCAATCTTCATTATGAAGTGACAAAATTAATAGTGTAAGAAAATATCCTCTGAGAGATGATTGGAAATGTACTAGAAATATTGCTCAAATGATAAAACATAATTAAAAAAAGCATTAGATCAAGATTGTTTAGTTTTATGTTTATCAAGGACAAGTGCAAAGAGTTGACATATAGGTAATAACTTTCTTGAAAATTCTTTATATCGAACAATTTTTTTTTTCCAAGATTGATTCCTTTATCTTACTTATCTTGAAGGATGACAATTTATCATTAATTTATTTGATATTGGAGATTTAAAATTTTTTGGTGAAAGTGCTAATGAATAAAATGCTTGATATAAACTATGGATGGCATAATTAGCCACCCCTAGTGTAACAACCAACTATATACTACAGTAAACCTCTATCTAATAAAATGAGGTATCTTAGTAATTTAATTTCCATGTTCTGTTACTTCATGTGATTTCTTTAGAATTAATAATTTAAAATGAATAACTTCCTTATTTTAGAATACAATGAATTTAACTTCTAAGAATTGGAGTGTTTACTTGCTCTAAGAGAAAGGTTAGGTGGACTGCATATGGACTCCACTCACCTTCAACATGTGGTGAATAATTGGCCACCTAGCAGGAGAGTCAGCTACTGGGCAGATGGTAAACACTACTCATCTATTTTTCTTGGGCTGTCGACCACTCTTGGCGTTAATGGCAAAGATTACATGCATAGTCTTGGATAACAACGATTGACCCTCAAATTTCCTTTAAAAGTTGATTTCTTCTTTACTTCTTCTTCCTCATTTTATTTAAAGTCAAAATTTCATAAGCAGAGTGAAACCTGAGAGTGTTGGTGAGGAAAGAAGTTTAAAAACATGATTGTGTGTTGGTGCCAAGAAGGAATTCTAGTGCATTTGTGGAAGGAATTTCCTTCTGCTTTGAGCTAGGTAAGTTTTCTTCCCTTAGAGCTAGTTTTGTTTGAGTTCCCAAACATTTATGCACCTTTCTTGTAGATTTTAGAACCCAAAATTTGCTGAAACTTCCCTCTTTTGTTGCTGTTTTATTTGTATTAGAAAAGGAAATAAACAATGAATTTAGAGAAGAAAAATTCTCTTATTTATTGTATATTGATATTTGAATGTATGTTATTTATATATAAAGTAAAGGGCTAAACTAGGAAATTTACATGTAGTTGGTTATAACAGAAAAATGATAACAAAATTGATAATAGAAAAAATAAACAATTAATTCTAATACTCCCCCTCAAGATGGAGAATATAAATTGATTGTACCCATCTTGCTTAAAAGTGTATGGAGCTGTGTAGAAGGAAGAGCTATAGTCATCAAATCTGCGAGTTGGTTGTTGGAAGAGACATGCATGGTTTTGAGTGTTCCAGCTTGGATCTTTTCTTGAACAAAATGACACAACTCGATGTGTTTTGTTCTTTCATGATAAACTGGATTGACAGCTATATGAAGAGCAGTCTGATTGTCACAATATAATAATGCTGGCCCTATGTGCTTGACATTCAAATCTTTCATTAAATTCAAGATCCATAATATTTCACATGTTGTATTTGCCATAGAGTGATATTCAGCTTCTGCAGAAGATCGAGACATAGTTTGTTTCTTCTTAGATTTCTATGATATGAGTGATGATCCGACAAAAATATAATATCCTGTCAGAGATCGCTGGGTGTCAGGACAGGTGCCCCAATCGGCATCAGAGAAGGCTTTTACTTGAATATGAGAATTTGTAGGGAAATGAATCCCTTGTCCTGGTGTTCCTTTAATATATTGTAGAATCCTTAGAGCAGCTTGAAGGTGACTTGTTCGAGGAACAACTAAGAATTGACTCAGACGATTAAATGTCCAGCCGAGTGATAGTCAAATATAATAGCTTCCCAATTAACCATCTATAATTGGTGACATCACCAAGCAGTTCCCCATATTCCTTGGAAATCTTGAGATTGGGTTCCATAAGAATAGAGGACGACTTGCAACCTAAGTATCCAGCCTCAGAGAGCAGATCAAGAGCATATTTTGTTTGACATAGAGTTATTCCATCATTGTTTCTGGCAACTTCAAGCCCAATGAAATATCTGAGTGGTCCCAACTCTTTCATTTTGAATTTCTGATTCAAGCTATATGTGAGATCTTTGACAGCATTATCATTATTACTTGCAATTACTATATCATCGACATAAACTAAGAGGGTAATGAAAATATCTCCATAATTTTTGACAAACAGTGAGTGGTCACATTGTGACTGAGAAAAACCTTCTTGAGTCAGGGATGTGGAAAATTTATGGAACCATTGTCGCAACACTTGCTTCAATCCATAAATAGACTTGTGTAATCGACAGACAACATTTGGTGGAAACATCTCCCCCTCTCGAGGAGAATAGCCTGAGGAAGAGTCATGTATACTTCTTCATGCAGATCCCCATGATGGAAAGCATTAGTAACATCTAGCTGTGTGAGACTCCAGTGGAAGATAGCAGCCAAAGATAATAAGGTCCTAACAGTGACCAGTTTGTAACCGGTAAGAAAGTGTCAAGGAAATCAATTTCGAACTGTTGAGTATAGGGTTTGTGACCAGTCGTGCCTTATGTCTTTCAATATGTCCATCAGTTTGATACTTGATTTTATAAACCCACTTACAATCAACAGGTTTCTTTCCTGGTGGTAAAGATACAATTGTCCAGGTATGATTATTGTCCAAAGCACACAACTCTGTGTGCATGGCATCTTGCCAAACTAGCATCCGGATTGCCTCAAAAAAACTCAGGGGTTCAATGTGTGAAGAAATGGAGCATATATAGGAGTGATATTGTGGTGTAAGCTTGTCATATGTAAGAAAAGTGGAAATAGGATGGTGTGTGCAAGAGGTGTGGTACCAGTGATAATCAGACAAGTAGGAAGGAGGTTTACTTTGACACTGAAGACGAGAAGTGGTGGAGGAATGAGATGAGGTGGCTGGAGAAGAAATATGAGGAGAGTGGTCAATATCTTGTGGAAGAGGTATGACACGATCATGAAAAAAATCAGATGAAATATTATCTGACTGATGATGGGAAAAAGGAAAAATGGTCTCATGGAAAACTACATGTCGGGAAATGTGGATCTGATTACTTTCAAGATCAAGAAGTTTATAGCCTTTGTATCCAAATGGGTATCCAAGGAAGACAAAAGCACGTGCTCGAGGTGAAAATTTATGTCCCTGGTGTGTAAGTGTGGAACTATAACATAAGCATCCAAAAGAGCGCAAATGATTATAAGAGGGCTTTCACTTGTTTAAAAGCTCGAAGGAGTTTATTAGAAAGTAAAGGAGAATAGACGCGATTAATGATATAAACAGCAATTAAGATATAACCATCCCAATAAATAAGTAGAATATTGGATTGAAAAAGAAGAGCACGTGAAACATTCAAAACGTGTTGGTGTTTACATTTCACAACAGAATTTTGTTGTGGAGTTTCAACACAAGAATGATAAGGATTAATGCCTTTAAACTTAAAAAAGGAGTGAAAACTTAACTCGTGCACATTTTCGGACCTCACTGACTTTATAGGCTTTTTGTATTGAGTTAAGATAAAGGTATAAAAATTAGGAAAAATAGTGGTAACATCAGATTTTTGGCGAATGAGGTAAACCCAGGTGGCTATAGTGCAATCATCAACAATAGTGAGGAAATATTTGTATCCCTCAATAGTGTTGATAGCAAAAGGGCCCCATAGGAAAAATGTGAATTAAATCAAAGGGGTTTGGAGACAAATTATTATGTGATATGAAAGATAATTT